AAAGGGGAGTTGTGGAATTTACATTAAACCCCCTATCAGTAGAGCAGAAACTCTCTCTCTACCAGCAGGTGACATCTGCACTAACTTCAGAGCTGAGGCAACTGCTCTCCTCTCTGCAGTCCAACATCTCATCACTCAAGAACACAGAGGGCACCAAATTGTTATACTTAGCGACTCATTGTCTGTTCTCCAAGCACTATCCAGCAAAAAACAAGACAAAATAATTGCTGATCTAAGGACCAACATTGGCTTACTCTCCAAGGAAGCAGAACTGGTCTTGCAGTGGATACCAGCCCACTGTGGTATTCAAGGAAATGAGAGAGCAGATGAGTTGGCAAAAGCTGGGAGTAATCTTCCACAACCTCATCCACCACACAGCTACAAGGAAACCAAAACAGCGCTAAAGCAGTCTTTCAAGCGGGAGTGGAGAAGGCAGAATGGAGATTACAGACCAGAGAGTGACAGCATAAACAAACTCAACAGGAAAGAACAAACATCAATTCTTAGACTTCGGACTGGACACTGTGGTCTTCGAGCACACTTGTACAGGAGAGGCATAAAAGAATCTGCTGCCTGTGATTGTGGAGCAGAAAGACAAACCCCTGAACACATACTGCAGTACTGCCCTTACCTCTCCCAGCAAAGACTGTGGATCTGGCCCAAAGGAGCCACATTGCAAGAGAAGCTATGGGGGACCGGTTGCGACCTTAAACGCACAATCCTATTTGTGACCCAGACGGGACTCAATGTTTAGCATGACTGATATCGAACGCAGAAGAAGAAGAAGAAGAAGTGTGTGTATTATATTTTACAGCAACAGTACAGACAAAGTAGTTTCTACATATATTGGACTATTTCAAACAGTTGGACTTCAAGAATTTGGGCAGCATTTGGTACCGATAATCCTTCGGTGATGGTTGGTATAAACAATGGCGTTTATGCCAAGTGGAAAGAAGATATCCCATCGTTAATCCTTATAAAATGTGTGTGTCATTCATTGCAACTAGCATCATCACATGCTTCATCTGAATGTTTACCAAGGAATTTGAATACCTTATTGCTGAAACACATAAGTGGTTTTCCAAATCATTTGTCAATACAATACGTTATATACAGCCATGAATTATGGTTCCACGCCACTGAAAATTCTGTCAGATTGCAAAACTAGGTGGTTATCAATTCAACCAGCTGTTAAAAGAATTGGGAACCATTGATTGGAGTTGAAGACACACTTTGAAATAACAAAATAAAGTGAAAAGTGTTACGCAGCTGAAATACTATATGGAATGTACAGTGATGAAAAAAGTTGGGCATTTCTTCTCTTTTTACAACCTATTCTAATGGAAGTGCAAAAAGTTAATAAACTGTTTGAATCTAAACTCGTTGATAAAGTTAGATTACTTGACGATCTCACTTTGCTATTTTATTCAGTAAAAGACTGGTGTTGCCAACTTCTAAAGCTGATTTGCTCACTTACACTATAGAGAGCTATTTGGCTCCTAAGCCACACCTTGGATATTAAATCGAATCAAAAATTGATGATTTAAAAACAAAAGGACTGTTAACAGAGAATGAAGAGAACAACTTAAGAAAACGCTGTCAAGATTTCCTTATCTCATTATTGAAGCAATTGAAGCAGAGACTTCCTGAAAATCTAGATGTTTTGAAAAATATTTCACTTTTTTCTGTGAGCAACATACTTCAGCCAATAAAGGACATACCTAAATATTGTAAAGTTATGAAAATTTTAGGGGCTTGTGATAATAGTGTCGCGGAAGCAGAATATCATTTAACCAAACTAAAGTTAGCTGAATGGTCAAACAAAACAGAAACTAAAGCGTTTTGGAGTGAAGTGAGACAATTCAAAAATGCCTCATCAAACAGTCCATTCTGTAAGCTCTTTAAAGTGCCATGTCTGCCATGATACTACCCCACTCAAATGCTGACGTAGAAAGAGTTTTTAGTGCTAGGAATTATATCAAATCTAAACTAAAAAACAGGATGAAATGTGACTTCTTAAATGCTATCGTGCCATTGAAATTCGGCCTGATGAGACTAGAAAAATAAGCCTACTTTTCCACTTATAAAGAAATTTGAACAGCTAAAGCATACCAGGGTCAATTTGGATCTGAAGCTTCAACTTCATTATCCAAGCTAAGTTTATCCTGTGGATCTTGTGAGGCAGACATCAGTGAAGGTAAGGACATGATTATGTAGGGTAAGTCATAACAAAAGCTATGTAATTTTTGACTTTTTCAATTTGGATGTTTTTTCTAGATCTTTTCCATGCAGATTTAGATCTTTTTAGATATTTTTTGATACCGTTTTGGATATTTTTTGTCAAAGAAAAGTGGCAACACTGGGCAGGGCCAGTGTTGCCACTTTGAATCTTTTATATCCAAATTTAGATCTTTTTTATTGCATTTAGATACTGTTTTTGAGGTTTAGATCCTAAATATTTTTCTAGATACTTTTCATATGGAGTTAGATATTTTATAGATTCTTTTTCTTTCATTGTCAATTTAATAATTACTGTGTAAAATATTTACTACAATATTTTTGTTTTGGTCTGGCACGTACATTGTGACAACTGCCATTACTTGAATTTTGAACTCTCACTGGGGTCAACGCACAAATATCTGGCAGCTTAGGTACTGATTAATAAAAACGGGCGTAAATCATACCAACTTTGTTTCAACCGTATCCTCACTGTGCTGACTTTGCGTTTCTTTTTCATGTGTTTAAAAATAATAATTGCTCACCTTCTTATGTGGCTTTCACTTTGAAAAACCTTTCAACATGCCAAAAGTAAAGTATGAGCAACAAATTTGGAAAGAGTGGGTGCATGATGACAAAATTAAAAACCGGGGATATGATCAAAGCTTGTTGTAAGTTCTGTAAGTGTGAAATTAAAGCGAAAATACAAAACTCAAAAAGTTATGCAGATACTAAAAAAGCATAAAACTGCAGTTTTATTTAAAGATATTACACCGCTGACATCTGTTTTCAGAACTATACTGATAAATGAATCATCAAAAGTTGAAGTATCAGTCGCAATGTTTTTAATTTGTCACTGCGCAATTTCAAACTGTGACCATTTGATCGATTTGTAAAAAATCTTGGACTAGTTCAATTTGAAAAGTGTGGTGTAGAAAGTATAGTTTAGGAACTGAAGGACCTTTTAATCAGCAAACAGTTAGGCTTGAAGAATTTGGCTGTAATTGGTACTGATAATGTCTCAGTGATGGTTGATATAAACAATGGCGTTTATGCCAAGTTGAAGGAAGCTAACCCATCAATACTTATAAAATGTATGCGTCATTTATTGCAGCTATCATTATCACATGCTTCATCTAAATATTTACCAAGGAATTTGGAATACCTTATTGCTGAAACACTCTACTGGTTTTCCAAATCATTTGTCAGACAACAGCAATTCAATACATTATATACAGCCTTGAATTATGGTTCCATACCACCAAAAATTCTGTCAGATTGCAAAACTAGATGGTTATCAATTTAACCAGCTGTTGAAAGAATTATGAAGCAATGGCTAAAGTTGAAGACACACTTTGAAATAACAAGACAAAGTGAAAAGTGCTACACAGCTGAAATACTATATGGAATGTACAGTGATAAAAAAAAATTTGTCATTCATTCTCTTTTTATAACCTATTCTAATAAGTGCAAAAAGTTAATAAACTATCCGAATCTAAACTTGTTGATAAAGTTAAATTCCTTGATGATCTTCTCACCATGCTATTTCACTCGGTAAAAGACTGGTGTTGCCAACTTCTAAAGCTGATTTGCTCACTTGCACTATAGAGAGCTATTTGGCTCATAAGCCACACTTTGGATATTAAATCGAATCAAAAATTGATGATTTAAAAACAAAAGGACTGCTAACAGAGTATTAAGAGAACAACTTAAGAGAACATGTCAAGATTTCCTTATCTCATTATTGAAGCAACTGAAGCAGAGACTTCCTGAAAATTTAGATGTTTTGAAAATTTTTTCACTTTTTTCTGTGAGCAACATACTTCAGTCAATAAAGGACATACCTAAATATTGTGAAGTTATGAAATTTTTAGGGGCAATTGATAATAGTGTCGCGGAAGCAGAATATCAGTTAACCAAAATAAAGTTAGCTGAATGGACAAACAAAACAGAAACTAAAGCGTTTTGGAGTGAAGTGAGACAATTTAAAGATGCCTCATTCTGTAAGCTCTTTAAAGTGCCATGTCTACCATGATACTACCCCACTCAAATGCTGACGTAGAAAGAGTTTTCAGTGCTAGGAATTATATCAAATATAACCTGAAAAACAGGATGAAATTTGACCTCTTAAATGCTATCGTACCATTAAAATTCGGCCTGATGAGACAAGAGAAATAAGCCTACTTTTTTTTTTTTTTAACGTATCCAGAAACCATGAGTTGTAAACCCTTCAGCTCGGTACTATGGATATCGCAACCCTTCGGCCTTGATTCCATTAAAGGTACCGTTAATCTGGGAGAAATTTGGCTTTTCTGCCTACCCCCGGGAGTGAACCCGGACCACAAGGAGTTCGTCACCCGGCCGCCGCGAACGTCAGGTTTAACCAACTTCGCTAGAGAGCCGGACTGTTCCATTTATAAAGAAATTTGAACAGCTAAAGCATACCAGGGTCATTTTGGATCTGAAGCTTCAACTTCATTATCCAAGCTAAGTTTATCCTGTGGATCTTGTGAGGCAGACATCAGTGAAGGTGAGGACATAATTATGTAGGGTAAGTCATAACAAAAGCTATGTAATTTTTGACTTTTTCAATTTGGATGTTTTGTCTAGATCTTTTCCACGCAGATTTAGATCTTTTTAGATATTTTTTGACACCGTTTTGGATATTTTTTGTCAAAGAAAAGTGGCAACACTGGGCAGGGCAGCAGCTGCTGCAGCAGGGTGACACTGACAGCTCACATCACAATAGTTTACATTTGCATTAGGAGTTGTAGAAGGCAGTCATGGCTTTTAATGTTATTGGCCTCATTTATCGTAACTTTGCGAAAATTGTTCTGCCGATAACATTAATAGGTTTAGTGGGATGTATAATATATATCTCCACAATCGAGCCATTCCCGCAAAGTGCTAAGCAGAATTTGTGTGAATATATGAAGGGTAGGTTAAACCGTTCATTTGTTGTCGTTATAAGATTTTTCACGGTAACATACCGGAAGTACTTAACGGAACTGAACTCAGTAGATGAAGTTTCATTCTGATTCAATCATGTTTGCACAAAGAAAACGGCAAAGTCTTCGTCCATTTAACGATCGTCATTAAATCAATAACGATTACTCTATAACTGCTCATTTCCACACTCATAGCTTTAAAAACCAACCAAACCAAGTTTGAATTTTGCAGTCAGAACGTGGCGAAGCTTTTCTTTTTTTTTTCTCAAAAGGACTTTCAAAACATTAAACCAGACGTTAAACAGGGATGTGTACTATCACCCGATTTATTAAATTTGTACAGTAAAATAATAATTAGATCTATACATGGTATGCGAGGAATAGCGGTTGATGGTCATATTTTTAACAACTTGCGATATGCTGACGATATATTTTTGATCGCTGAATATGAAACAACTGCAAGAAATGCGGTGGCCCAGGACATATTTGTAACAGAGAGTGAAAACAAAGGTCTTAGTTTGACCAGCAGAAAAAACAGAAGTAATGGACATGGTAATTACAAAGAAAAACCGACCCTTCAAAATGCATCATCATAGTGAATACTTGATATATGGATGTGAATCATGGGCAGTTGGTAAATGAGTGAAAACTTTTTTGGAAGCTGCGTAGATGTTGTTTTATAAACGAATGATAAGAATACCCTGGACAGATAAAAAGAGCAATGAAGACGTCTTTAAAGAAACTGACTCACGAAGAGAATTGATTACCCACATCAGAAAAAGACAATCTGTTCTTCGGTCGTGCAATGAGAAGGAGACAACTGAAGTACATCGTGACAGTAGGAAAGTTGGAGGAGAGGCAAAGTGAGACCAAGAGAACAAATGCAAGACAGAGAGAACAAATGCAAGACAGTTTGACATCATGGCATGGAAGATCCTCTACGTCAGAGCTGATTAAAGTTTATGAGACAAAAGATTTTAGATGGACATGAATACCATTGTCACACACCATGGACTCTGATAAGCAGAAGAAGTGTCACGCTTAGCAGATTGTTGACATATAAATGAATTTTTATCCCCTAAACTATTTAGCACGCATATTTAACATGTAGTAAAATATAGTTATAGTTATATTAGTGTAGTGTAGTTGGTGTCTGTGGCTAGGCATTGCGAATGAGCTTCATAATGCCGGGGTTGGATCTCAGCTACACGCGATTTTGCTGAAAATTGTTTTGCATTGGTTCAACAGGACAGTGGTATTGAGAGCCGAGCGTACAGAAAGCAATGGCTAACTACTTTTTCCTAACCAGCCATTGTAGGAATTTCTTGCGGGTAAATGTTGAGGATTGCATTGTGAAGAGATTTTCACTAAACTTGAATCCACAAAGCCCTAATTTGATCTACACTAACAGACGCATCCAAAGCACATACACAAAACAGTCTACATGAACTAATGTACTTACGACTGCCACTGCTGATAAGTGAAGCGTTATCGGTATATCCTTTTTAAGTTTCATTGATGTTTTTGATTGCAGTTTATAAGAATTATCAAAGTCACTGTTGTAAAACTGTTTAAAAATATCTTCACTTTCTGGTTTACAAACATCAAGAAAATCTCCTGTAGCATCAGAATACCCCAAACTGTGCCACCAGAGTTTCAAGAAAAATTTACTCTAAGCACTACATAATTGTTTCCCTTAAAAAAACAGAGTTCTGATGAAGTGGTTCTCACCCTGTGGGTCGTGACTCTATTATATGTCAAATGACCCTTTCACAGGGGTTACTAAAGACTATCAGAAAACTCATTTCCACTGAAGTTATGAAGTAGCAACAAAAATAACTATATGGTTGGGGTTGCCATGACATGAGAAATGGTATTAAAGGGTCAGGGCATTAAGAAGGTTAAGAGCCACGGTTCGATGGCTGCAACATTTATCACAAAAGTTGCAATTTTAACATGGTGTTGGCATCCACTGTTACAATCGCGTAGAACATGCAGGTTAAGTGATTGGTTTGCAGTCAAAACTGAAGTTAAACAGGGACACATTTTTTATCCCCCATTATTTGGCATTACTGTACACTGGATTGTGAAAAATTGTGCAGGAAATACCGGCATCTTCTGGGTGGAAGACTATTGGAGGTTTGGATTTTTGCAGATGATATTGTTGTGCTAAGGGGGAACCAAGTAGAATGCAGAGAAAAACAAATTATTTAGCAAATATGGCATCAACAATCGGACTACAAATTGGTTATTTAAAGACAAATGTACTGAAGACATCAAGGACAGACCAAACAGCCTTCACACAGGAGGTAACAGTTAAAGTAACACATCCGTCTACCTATATGAGTAGCAATTTTAAAAGAAATGTTGATGTGTATTGGCATTTTGTTTGATTCCAATATTTCCTATATTCTTCATCACCCAGTCACTATTACAGTAAACAACAGATGAGGTAAATGACATCTTTGTTTCACCCCAGTTTTGAATGGAACCTTATAACTTAAACTATGTGTGCACACACACTGAGCCATTATTGCTTTTTTGTGTGTCCATTTGTATACTATAACATTCCAAGGCTACCATAATGACATTCTGTGCAAGCTGTCAAAAATGTATATTAGTTGGTTTTATTACATTACATTTTTGTAATTTTTGTTTGAAAATAGAAAACAAAAATATCACTATTGCTTCACACTGCTTCTTCACTCTCTCTTATAGTAGTTTTCAGGGAGATACAAGGTTCTGATTGTTGCTGTTCTGGCTGCCTTAACAATAGACACATTGTACTATTTTAAAGAGTGTTGCTGATGTCTTTCCATATTTCTCTCTCTACCTCATGACCAGTGTCTCCCTCTTGATGTATATACCTTGTATGATATGGCATCTCAGAGCATTTTCTCCATATTAGAGCTCGCAAAATTAAATTTAAGTAGAAGAGAATCTATTTTAGTCTCTGTCTATTGCAAGCCTAATTGTTATTATTAAAGACGTTCTGACTTTCACGACTAAAAGTGGGCTACACTGAATATTAATCATTCTTAAAAAATAATAGACTGTAAAATTGCTTTGACATTGTCAGTAATAATTAAATATTGCTGAATAAATGTGTGTTTGCAGAATGGGATGGCAGCAAAAACATATCCAGGCAGTGGTGGGAGTGGGCATGTCTCATAGAAGCGTAAGTATTTGGTTTTTCTGGGCTTGTGTGTTACCTAGAAATATTACTGCTTCAGTAGCAAGCAAGCTACTGCTGTTTTTATTAATAACACATTCCTGATGGTTTGACGTTAAAAGTAGCAACAGCTTGGAAACAGAACCAGTGAAAATACTGCCTGCTTGGGACAGAGAGTTTATGTAAATAATGTAGCATTTAGTTAGTTATCCTAAATAAGTTAGTCTGACATTAACACTTACAGTCCCATGTGTTAGTTAATCTCTCATAACCTAGTTATATTAACTCCTGTTGCCCAAACGTGTCTCTATTTCATTATCTTGGAGCCAGATGGTTACTACTGCCCTAGTCTGGAAACATCGGCTATCATGACTCTTCTGTCTTCTCGATTATCTTATATTTTCATAAACTTGGTGTTTCCATACTGTTTCCTACATCCTTCTACTTTTCTGTGCCTTTGTTGCCTAGTATTTTCTCACATAAGGTTAATATCATCTCTCTTCCACCTTTTCTGTCAATATGCCCCTAACCTTTTTTGGCCATGGAAGCCACAGAACTAAGTTCTCCAATGAGATCCATCTTTTTCTGAGGTCACCTGTCAAAGTTCGTGGAACTAGAAGCCCTCTAAGAGAACACTGCCACGAAAAAAACCAAGAAGCCGATATGATCATCGCTGGAGCTATGTAGTTCGTTCTTTGTTTCAAAATCTTATTAAAAAAAAGCTATGCTTATTTGAATAGCTTTAGTTTGTGTTTATTTCAGAGAATGGAAGAAAGGAGTGGAGGTCAGCTGTACAGATTTGAGAAAAAAGGGAAACTACTACATCTGTTTTGATAAACCACTGGGACCAAAGCCTCCATGCCTTGTATATTCTTTTGGGTGAGTTTGAAAATTGGCAAGTCAGTTGCTTTTTCCTCCTGTCTGGACAATGGCCATACGAATGTGAAAATTTGTATCTTTAATTAAATATTTCCTGATCACATATTATGTCAGATACACAGCATTGTCTGTGACCAGTGAAAGATTTTAGAGAGCTGAAGTGTCATATAAGTACTTAGGTGCAAACTTCAACTGCTGAGAGAAGGAAAACTATCTGGGGGGAAAATCTTGAAATAAAGTATACTATGCCCTTCAACATTTGCTAAAGTCAAAGTGTCTTCTCGCAACACCAAGATCAAAATATATAAAATGATGATAAGACCAGTCGTTTTATGTGGCTCTTAAACTTGGAGCACAACTAAAAGAGATGAAGCCTTATTACAGGTTTTCGAAAACAGAGTCTTATGACAAATCTTTGGACCCATCAAAGATACAAACAGTGGGGAATGAAGAATGAGAAGCAATAACGAAATTCATACTCTGTTTAAATCACCACTGATCACTGTCATAATGAGAGCTAATAGACTGAAATGGGTGGGGCATATTGAAAGAATGTCAGATGACAGAGAAGTAAAAACTGTATACACAAGGGAGATGAATGGTCGTAGACCATGAGGAAGACCAAGAAGAAGATGGCTAGATAATATCCAGACAGACCTGCAAACACTTGGTGTCACTAACTGGAAAGAGAAGGCCAGTCAGAGAGATGAATGGAAGCAAGTAATTTCTGCAGCAATAAACCTCAAGGGCTCAAAATGCTGAAGAAGTGTCAGAGGCTGCTTGACCAGTCCATGATTCACAGACACACAAAACAACTGATGCAGTTTAACATTTAACCCTTTCACCTTTTAAGAAGTGACCTTTTTCACAATATTTTATTTTAAAACATGCAGAAGAAATTTTGAGTCTTGGGGGTTGAAATCTGTGTCCACCAAGCAGGCAGGTAAACCTGCTAGCATCTGCATCATCATGTCCCCCTAGTTACTCAAACAAAATTAAAGCATAATTTTTTATTTTTAAACCTAAAAACATCTGCAGTCTAGTTAGGAATGTAATCACTAAATACAAATTGAAAAAAACTGCCTTCACTGCCATTAACCAAAAAAATCATAGGTTTGTTAACTCGAGTTCCGGGGATTTCGCATCTGAGGCCAGTGAGGTGGTGATGCAGTTTTGAAATGTCACAAGTGTAACACACTAAAACAGACCATACTAATTCAACCGCCATGCAACACACATATTATGCATCAAAGGGACCAGGGATTGTTGAGGAATAATATTCGAATACTGCTACAGGAATACATTATGTTTGAACAAAGAAGACACAAACAATCATCATCATGAAGCAGATCTTTTTGCAGAACGTCGCTGACATCACAGTCTGCCTGAAAGAAACTCGGTCTCTCCCCAACTCTCCCACCTCATGTACTTTCATACTCAAGGAGTCACTTGTATCCTGTGCTCATCTTCATGTTGTTGGACCCCTGCCCCTCCTTCCTGGAAGCATGCCTTCTGCTATTATTTTTTCCAATCCATCGTAGTGTTTGATATGACAAAAATATTTAAGCTTCTGAGACAGGATGCTGTTTATTAGCCAACTTTCTTTATATTCAAATCTTTGTTCTTTGTTCAAGATATTCTGAGAATCTTTCTATAGCATTTCAGCTCAAAAGCCCCTATTCTCTTTCTTAAGGACTGGGAGATAGTCCACGACTCACATCCGTATGTTGCTACAGGAAAGATGCATGCTCTCAAAATTCTAATTTTGATCTGTTGCTTAACCATAGACTTTTAATGCGGTTTAAACTTCCATGATAAGTTTCTGCTGATAGCAATGTGGTAGTTTCCCCTTGCTTTCCACATCCACATGGCTTGAGACTACGTCCATAGCAACCTTTTTGATTGCTAGGGTAAGTGAGTGCCCTGCTCTGTAATGCTCCTGCTAACAGCAGAGGGCACCCCAGAGGTGTCCACTTATCCCATCGGATACTTGGTCCCCATAGCTGCGTTGGCCACACAAAAAATAGAGTGCACAATTTATTACCTAGCATATTTCATTGTATCTCGTCTGGTGCATACTACAGTAACAATTTATTAGAAGGAAGCAAATATATAAAACCTCTAAACTGAAACACAAAATTGACTAGATTTACACATTTTCTGTTTCACTGAGGTAACCACAAAGTGACGAGCATTTCCTTTTATTATCGGATAATAATCAAATTTTAAAAAAGTTATTTTATAATGGTCAAAAACTTTCTAAAATCTACTTTTAGATAGACCAGTCCCTATAATATTGTTTACGGAGTATGCATACAAAATTTCATGTTTCTACTCTTTAAATTAGCTTAGATTTTAGGATTTCACACACACAGCAAACTGAAATACAGAGATTTGAGAAAACTGTCTTTTAAACTTTTTTTTCTCTTAAAAAAGTGCACGAGGAGGTGTCGTTAGTATTAACTTTTTAATGCTAAATTGTTTACAAATGACATAAATTTTGTGTGTCATCTATTCTACGAATGCCGAACTTTACAAAAATGAACACATTGAAAAAGTGATATTTTTGTCATAAATTGGAAAAAATTCCGTGTAGTGACCCCTTAAGCGTTTCAAATTCTGTTTGTTGTATTTCGCTGGAACAAATCTTCTAGCACGGTTGCATAACGTCCACACTAGGCCATGCTGGTATAGCATAGGTGCAAAACTTAAAATGGATGTACTGGACTGTCCAAGTGTCTTTACGATAAACTTAATCTCTACGTCTAATTAAAATATCCCAAAAGGGCAAGGCGTTGCTACTTTCATGTTGTAGGGACACTGTGATGTTTCTGTGTGTTTGGTTCATTTTGATGTGAAATAACTGCATTTTGCTTGTTGGTGGCGATGATAAGTATGTCATCCACATAACGTCGAAAAAATACCAAACTCTCAATATCAAAGGACATTTGTTCCTCTAAGTGTGCCACAAAGATGTCAGCTAGAATAGGACCCAGAGGGCTACCTATGGCCACACCGTTAATCTGGCGTTAAAACTTCTATTGGCAGGTGGCTAACCCTTCTATGGAGAGAGCCCAAGCTATATGAGATTAAATCTGGCACAGGAAAGTTGATCCTCTTGACTTTAACCTTATTTGAAAGCGACCTTTACTTTAATTATATTTTCTTTGTCTTATTAAGCATGGACAAGATATGTCTATCATTGTTGTGAGTAATGCAGTTTCACTGCCCCAAAAGTCCTCCGCCCTTTCCATTTCTTGGAGGGTATTAATAATATCAGCATGATCCATAAGTTGACCATCGGTAGTGATAGCAGGTCCAGTCAGCCTGTCAGCTCTTTCATTTCCATCAAATAAATATGAAAAGATATGAAAGTGCCCTTTGTGTGGTGAACCATGATATAATAAATAGTTCACAAGCTGGCTAGCACTCCAACACTGCACAACAACATATTTCAGTCATGAACTACTTGATCACTTATAACCGAGAGACTTCTATTTCCATGTGTACTCTACATTGTTAGCTGGTAAGGAAATACCTAATTAATGCTGTCAGAACAGGGAAATATAAAATCTGGGTACATATTTAAACACATATGTGTGATAAAATAAAAATACAGGAAACACATTATTAGAATATATGGATAAAATTAGCCAGTAAATGTTCTTTATTTAGTAGTAGAGTCTGGCATACATTTTTCAGTATTCTTGTTCTTCGAGTTCACTCGCTGTAAACTCCAGCATAAATTTATGGTTGTTTGTCAACTTCTGGACTTGTCATGTTCCAGAACTTGAGTTTTGCATACACATTTGTTTTTACAGATCTGACTTATTTGTATGCAGACTATTGGTTCCTTGCCTCTCAGTCAGATGCATTGCAACTTTGAAGAGAATTTTTCTTTCAGTGTTGTGAGTACTCAGTAGATTGTGTGTAAAAATGCTGTGATGTCTTTTTTCTTGATTTCTTGAAAAACTATAGAGAATATTGTTACAGTTTAACATTTTTTTGCATAACCGCTTTAGCATATTGCAAACCACATATTGGTTTACTAGGCAATTTTACAATCATTAGTTTTTCTTATGTGTGGTATGTCGTTGAAAATGTTTATTATGAAAAATGTATCTTTTCAGGATTGATAATGATTTCAGTTTTGATGATGCAATGGCTGAAGCTGGCTGTGAGGTGTTCTCCTTTGATCCCAGGTAGTTTTGAATTGTATTTTAAAGGAGATATGGATGTATGTTCTGTTTTTAAAGTTCCAGTTTTATCTTACAAATACATCTGAGAAACCTTTACAAATAAACAGCACATATTTATTAAATTATGTTTTGCTCTATGACAAATCAATAAAAAAGCAATAAAATACAAAAAAATCAAATGAACATTTGCTTTACATTCTATAGATCAAGAGAAAGCTTTCCACAGAGTAAACCAGTATATTCTTTAGAAAGTCTTTGGCATCTGTGTGATAAAGGAAACGCTGCTAGACTGCATACAAGCCATTTGTAGAGAAGGTGAAAACACCATCTTAGGGCTGTAGGCAGTCATGGCAGTCACAGCCCATGATAATGTAAATTAAGGCCAAGAATGAGTTTCCTCCTCTTCCTGGACTAGCCAGAGCAGTATTGTAGAGATCATGCAGCATAATCCCTCTCTCTGCTTTTTTTGTTTTTACGCTTCAAAGGAAAGGTAACATCAATGTGTTTGGAACAAAACATATTGCAGAAGCTGCTGAATCAGAAGAACAGTGCTCTTTCTGCCGACCTGTTGAAGCTTTCGTTTCAGACTAGAAAAAGGCCTGGTCTGCTTTGCCCTAACATTCAGTTTTCAGGTTGCATTTGCTCATCCTAGGATAAGGCTAGTATCCTCCATCCAGTGTGCTTGCCTGCCCTAAGCTGTTTTTATATGTCAGCATAAATACATTGTCAGTGCCTGTGGGTTAGGCGCTGCGAACGTGCTTTTTCAATGCCGGGCGGCGATCCTAGCTGCAGGTGATTTGCAGCAGACCGTCTTGCATTGGTTTTGAGAGTAGTATCCAGATCTGTAATGGCAAACTACTGAATGTAAAATTTGCCTAGTAAAACTACAACAGCCCAAAAATGCTTGTTTTGATTCCGCAACATCCTGTAAATACATCATAGAGAACATTGCAACCACCCGCCAGCGCTGGTGCAAGTTTGCTACCAGTAATACTATTTTTTTTCTTTTTGCTGACACACAAACAAATGTGCACAATGATGCAGTATATTGAAAATTTTATGTTTCTGATGTCCTTGCAACCAGCAGTGTCTGAAAAATTTAAGACAAGTGTCAAGTGTAATCTTTAGATCAAAAGTTTACTATGCAGCAGCTCTTGTAATTATTTGCCGTGATGAAAACTTGATAAAGAACTTGTGTTATACATTTATACTACTTGGAACAGTGAGAAAGAACAAGCAAGAAATTCAAAGACTATTTCTGAAACATAAATATCAATCAATGAGCTTGAATACTTTTGGCATCAGAAGATATTGCTGTTGTCATATCTTACAGAAAAAAAAGAATAAGTCAGTTATAGTGTTGTCAGTGCCTGACAAGGAAGTCATTGATGATGAAAACCACAAACCAGCAGTAATCATAGGTTACCAAGAGAGTAGCTGTCACAGCAGATATTTATTCTGTTTCATGTATAACAAGAAGATGGCCACCTGTCAGGGACCTGTATGGCTGTGAAATGACTGTAGGCGATGATGGTGACTGACAGACAGCAGTGAGATGACCACTTAGTGACTACGCGTTCAACAGCTCATGGAGACTGACAAGAACTGCATGATGGACAGATAAAGACTCCAGGATATATTATCCATCACGGATCCCAGTGGCAGACTGAACAAAATGGAGGGGAGTTGCTCAGAGACCTGGATTGCACCGAGACGTAATGTGTTTTGACCGCTAGGTTTTTCTGTAATTGATTTGAGTAGGAAAGAGTTTGGATCAGAGGCTGTTGGTTCAAACCCGGTTAATGTTTGGAAACGACTGTAAGGCCAATGTGTGAATGGTGGTTTTAAAGCACTCCGGCCGGTTTGGGTAGGGTTATAATTCGAGCCACCTCTGGTATGAACTGCCTTCGTCCGTTTGTAATTACATTAAAGGCTAATGAGTATGCTCTGACAGTGTTGGGTTAACTGTGTTTGAGATAGACACTTCTGTCATGAAGCTACCACAAGCCATTGCTATTACAGCGGTATGCAGATGTCTGATAGTTACCAAGGAGGTAGTCTCATAGTAGATCATTTTTGTGGAATTAACATATTCTTATTCATGTATAACAAGAAGATGGCCACTTGCAGTGTTCGACGCACAAAGATTTTGTTGTCTCGGAATACGAGTCAATTCAAACCATTATAATTAATAATGATATTGCAAAATATTAAGAGCTTTAGTTAATAGCAATGTTTCTCTGCGCTGCAATAGTTGACACTGCCATTTATAGTTCACATTGTTAATTACAGAATACTTTTCAGTCTTAAAGGGGGAGAATACAGTTATTGGTGCCCAGAACTTCTCAATGATTTTCCATAAATTATGTTAATTATAGGCTTAGTTTGTTTGTGTCCCACTAGGAACCTAATGCCAGGTATCGGTCAAGCACTACCAATATTCACTTCCAGTATGGAGTTCATGGGGTGTTTGATTTATGATGACTGGTATTCAGTTTCTGTTGAAGCTGATGGCTGATTTTTTAATGATTAATATTCAGGCTAGATATTCTTATTCTGCTCATTATCTCTCAAAAGAGCTTAGCTCTCATACAACTTGTTCTACATTGTCCTCTCCTTGTCCCTCACATGCAGTACACTCAATGTCCTCCCCTTCTAATTCACATATGCTTATAATTCTGTTTTTTGTTTGTTTGTGTAAAAGAGATGAATCCTGTGAACTGTGACTAAAAAGCCTAATGAAATTAGGACGCAGAACAATATGCACAACACAAATCAACGTTTTGTCTGGGGCCTTGCTTTACATGAACTGCACACAAAATATAGGATAGGGAAGACTACTCCAGGCACTTAAAAACTGAGAGAAATATGAAAAACTAGTGAAAAGGTGATGTGAAAATAATAAAATAAAATAAAAGGCTAAAAAAAAAAATTGGTCATAAAAGTCTAGTGAAAATATATAATAATAGTAGTAGGAATAAAAGAGTAGTAGAAAAACAACTAATAATGATCCATAAATGTTACTGATGAGAGATAGAATATAGTATAATATGAATAAAATTAGCATAAAAATAATACAATAAAATAATTTTTTTTAAATGTGGCAGTAGTAAAGCTGTTTTGATGAAGGTATGCTGGACATTGCCTCCTAGACTAAAGACACCTAGACTGTGGATGCAGCAATTTTCCAAAGCGAAGCGTGTGGTATGATCACCAGAGTGGATCTTTCGCCATTTGGAAATCCTCCGCTCTGATCCGGACACCAAGATGGTCTTAAGTGAAAAACCAAGATTAGTTTGTAGACAAGACCACAACCTTAAAGACATAGTGGTCATAATGGGTTGAAAAGATGATTTATCTTTCACAGCGAGTAACTCTTGCTCAGGCAATCATACCACACACCTCCCTTTAGAAAAAAATCTGCATCCACATTCTATGTGTCCTTAGTCCAGGAGGCATCAGTGTCCAGTATACCTTCATCTAAACAGTTTTACTATTGCCACATTATATTTATTTTATATTTTTACTTTATTTTTTTATCAGTACCATTTAGGGATCATTATTAGTTGTATTTCTACTATTTTATTCCTACTACTATTATTATATTTTATCACTATTATTTTTACGACCATTTTTCAAGCCTTCCTTTATTTTATTTTATTATTTTCACATCACCTTTTCAATAGTTTCTCATGTGACCCTTCGGTGGTTGTAGTTG